TGGAAATAAAATACAAATTTAAAACCAACCAAAAAATTGAGTTGTTTTCTTGTTTGGTGGTGAGTCAATAATTCAAATTCAACCTTTTTGGGCCAAATGTACCAACTTGGTGTCATAATTAAATAATAAAAATTAAAAAAATATGAAAACATAAAAAAGTATTAGAATACAAAAAATGGTAAAAAAACATTTGTATATTCATCATATTAAACCAAAATAAGTGTGACAAACAAGAATATTTGTATAGACATATAAATATAGAGTAATTGTAGAAAATTTTGGAAACATATTATTTATCATCATCATCATCATCCTAAAAAATTGCCATGCGCAAAGCATGTGCATACTCACTTGTTAAAATAATAAGTATTATGGAATACTTATGCAGATGTTAAGACAAAGAAAAACTTTACTACCCAATACTCTATGCATCGTGATGCCACATTAGCAGTTTTTTTTTATTTCCACAAAATTGTAATTTTTATTTGAAAAAATGAAAAAAAAAATCAACTAATGTAATGTGGCATCACCTTTGTGCATTTTGAGTAGGAATTCGTGCCCAAAGTGGGCAGTGAATTTTTCTTTTTTCTTTTTGACAAATCATCTATTGATCAATGTGTTCAAAAATTGGGCAACCAAAAACCATTTTGGCTTTTAAGTTTGACAACACAAAATTGGATTTCATCCTCACAACATCCTCATAATAAAATTTGCAACTGTGCATTGAAATCATCTCTATACTTGTATGTCTTCATTCATGGGAAGATGTTCTAAATGCATGACTATGAATGAAGTGTTGTAAGAACAGTGGAGGACAAAATCTATATTCTGACAACTCTTCTAAAAGTTGGAAGGAATAGTACACAACCGTTTACACTTTGGACATGTAGGATGCTTTTGCTGTACCTAAGTCGAACCATGGAAAACTTTCACTTTTAGACAATTTTGTTGTGGAGCATTTTTCAGGTTTTAATCTTGGATCATTGGTCCTATAAAAAAAATCTTGGATCACTTCTATGTTGAGTTTGCTCAGATCAATTATTCACTTGCTTATGAATCAAAAGTTCATTCTAAAAGGCTGCACAAGGTATTTATTTATCTGAGTGCAAATCAAGTATTATCCCATTAAATCAATATAATTGAGATTTGATTTGTTTGGGTATTCTCTCACACTCTTTTTCATTCCTGTCATTACAGGTCCGTGCGAGGACTACCGTGGAAAGCGAGTACTAGTTGTTGGGTGTGGCAATTCCAGCATGGAAGTCTCTCTTGATCTCTGCAACCACGAGGCCTTCCCATCCATGGTGGTTTGAAGCTCGGTGAGTAATCCATGACATATCATTCACTCCCTTCCATTGGTCTTGTGCAATTCAAACACTTGTTTCTAACCGAGAATGAATTTGACTTCAATCCATAGGTTCATGTCTTGCCGAGGGAGGTTCTCGGGAAATCAACATTTGAATTGGCGGTTTTGATGATGAAATGGTTGCCTTTGTGGCTGGTTGATATGTTGTTGTTGATTTTGGCATGGTTAGTGCTTGGAAACATTTTGAAATACGGGTTGAAACGACCTTCAGTGGGTCCTTTACAGCTCAAGAACTCTGCTAGAAAGACCCCTGTTCTGGATATTGGTACACTGTTGAAGATCAAATCTGGTGACATTAATATTGTCACTGGAATCAAAAGGTTCAATCGTGATAGTGTGGAGCTTGTCGATGGAGAAAAACTTGATGTTGATTCGGTTGTTTTGGCAACTGGGTACCGCAACAACGTCCCTTGTTGGAAGATGTTCTTATTTTCTTTTCCATTTTTGGATGTGTTTGATAGCTCTAGAAGTCAGATTTCTGTTACTAGATTTTTTTTAGTTTTCATTCCCATTTTGGGTTGTTTTGATGCTCTGAAAAAGTCAAGAGTTCTTAGGCATTTTGATGCTCATAAAAAATATATATATATATATATATATATATATATATATATATATATATATTCAAAAGTTTCTTCTGTTGATTGGGTTTTAGTTAAAAATTTTCTTTTATGAGACAAGAAGTGGACAAATGGACTGAAGTTGCTTTCAATATTTGTGTTATGACAGGAGAGCGAATTCTTCTCCAAGAATGGTCTTCCAAAGACTCCATTTCCAGATGGGTGGGAAGGCAAGGCAGGGCTTTCCCAATTTGTACGCTCAAATCTTTTATTACTTATATATTAAGAAAAACTTACATGAATTGTCTGTATTTAGAAAACGATTATATTGTTAATAATTTACATTGAACTCTCCTTGTTCAGGTTAGCTTTGGTCAGGTTGAAGCAAAGATGTGTCAATGAATTACCTGGTCTGAAACTCCTCCAAGCCTTTCCCAATTTATACAGTTCCAATTTCAAAACTAATAGGATGCACTGGTCTCAACCTTCTCGTTTTCTTCCTGATCAATGCATTCCTTTTACTGATAGAAAGAGATTTAGTTTCAAGTCACCTGATACATAGAAAGCAAATTCTAGTTTGAAATATATTGATCCAAAAAATAAATCTAGTTTGAAACGTTTTTCCTTTTGCCTACATTTCATTTCTTTTCTTAATAAAATCTCTTTTTCTACCACAGACTTTTGAGAAGGGTTGCCACCTTTAATTTTAAATAAAATCTTTTTCATCTTGTTACCAATAAAAAACCAAAGAAATTATTTTGTTGTTTAATTGTATTCTAATGCTAAGACTATATGAATGATAAGAAATTGGCTGCGAATTTTAGGGAATAAAACAAAGTTCCCAAGACATAATAATCATCTTGGTGGAATTTAGTTTGGAAATCCTTGTAGTTACTTTCCTACTGTAGCATCACTAACCTTAGTTTGGATTGTTCTGCTAGTTTGTTCTGGTAAAGAGTTTGTTCTGACAAACTCACAAACCCCATTGTAAATAAACCTCTTTTAGAGAACAAGGACTCTGAATCCGGTTTAAAAGACATCTAATTTCTAGTTCATCCCCAGAAAATAGATAATTATATATTTCAAGTATAGTACATTGAATTGGTTACATTTTGGGAACACTTGTTAAAGCCAGTAAAAGAGTAGAACTTCAAGCACCTTATAGCACATAATAAGTGAAAATTGTGGAGTTGGTCTGAACTTTGTACATCATCTATGACTTTGCTAAGACAGTTGACGCAGCGTGGAAGCAATGAGAATTGGAGCTGGCTATGCAAGCACCGAGCGTTCGCTAGCACCTAGTGAATAACACTGATTTCTCTACGAGAGAGAAAAGGTGGCGAAAACTGAAAGAAGAGAACTCAAGAAAATCTGAAAATCTGAAGTATGAATTATGTTCATTAACTGAAAAATAGCAGTATTTATAATACATCTGAAAATTGAAATTGTAAAAGAACTGGAAATTGTGAAAGAACTAGGAAAGAACAATTAGGATAGATCAAAACATCTAATCTAGATAGGATTGAATTCCTCTTTGCCTGATCTCCACTGTTTGATCTCCCTAGATGCATGTATCTTGGATTATCTTGCTAATATTGATGCTTCTTGGAGTCTTTCTTGATAATCTTGGAAGAGTCTTGGAAGAGTCTTGCCTTATCTTGCTAATCTTGATAGTCTTGGGAGTCTTGAGTTGTTCTTGCTTATCTCTCTTGGACTAATCTTGATAATCTTGGCTCCTTCTCTATCTTGACCTCTTGCCTTATCCTTATCCTAGAGCTGCCGCCCCTAGGGGTGCGATGGGCTTTCTTGTGATGGGCCTCCATCAACAGTTTTCAACGATAATCACCTAAGTTTTTAATCCATGGTTTAGGAGTGGTACTTAATCCAGAAAAACACATAAAGCTTTTTTTTTGACGTGTTATCTTTCTTAATCAGATAGAAGCTGTGATGAATGACTATATTCAGCTGAAGCCACAATCTAATGTTTATGAGGTTGAAACAATGATTGAAGGTTAGGTCTTCTTCTACCGTATGCTTTTGCTTTTTATCTTTTATTTTATTTTGTATTTTTTTTTTATATTTTTGTTGCCCGGACTGGGACATATATCTTTATTGCAATGTGGTTGCAAACCCATTTAGCCAGAGTTGGAACCTTGAATAAGCTAGCATTACACTTAAAGATGTACTACTAATTTTTGAGGTTCTTTTAACATGGGCAAAATTGAAAATTTTGGCTAATTTTGATTCCATCTTCTAGTTGAATCAAACAGCGAATCAGAATCCGATCCCGATTCCTGACTGAATCAAATAGATGCTAGGAATAGGTGATTCCTATTCCGATTCCGATTCCTGGGGATTTTGATTCCGGTCTTGCTCGTGAATCAAACGCACCCTTAGGGCCTGTTTGTTTGGTCTGAAATATAATAATTACATTAAGAGGTATATTGGTATTAGTGAATTTTTCTTTCATCTAAACTCTGAATGTAGAGAATGTTGTTATAAATTCTAAAAACTATGAAATATCCATTTTGACTCTATATATGAAAATTTTTATTTGTTATTTTGGGTTATCATTAGAAAACAAAAAGTTGTATGATTACACTTAAAAAAATAAGAGATAAGAGGAAAATAACAACCAATTTTCTATTAAAATTAAAAAATTTCTCTTAAAATATAAAAATTAAAAGAAAACGAACAGACGGGATGAATCCTGACCAAGTAGATTGTGGGGCTGTAATTTCAGAGTTGTGCATTGGTTACGGTATACTTCTCCCCATATTTCAGAATTCAGAATTCTGTAATTTCAGAAATTTCCCCATGCATTTAGTTCAAGTGGCAGCAATTTCCGTGCGGAATATTTGAGTGGATCAAATGCGGATATAGGACATCCGAATCCGAGCCGTTTTCAGACATCAGTTTCAGCCTTTCATGGCTACGGTCTACGGACTATGCTGGTATGCTTTGCTCGTTATCCTTGTTTAAATTGTCACGTGCATGTACGATAGGTCACGTGGCGTTGCTAACGTACGTGTCCGACTGCCCGTACTAGACGGTCAGGGACGAGAAAAAACAGGTTCGTCGATTTCCTCCTGCCTCGCGCCATTTCTTCTGCTCCACCCGATATGGATGATACGCTCCTCCAGTCTCCCTCCCTGCCAAAACGACCTTGTTGCAGCGGAGACCCTCTTCCGATGGAAACTCCCAAGGTTTCCATACCACAACAGATGGATGATCTATTAGAAACATTTCTAGGGTTCTCTGATTCCTCATTCTCTATTGACCTCTCCCTCGAGCGACTTCTTGAGTCTAGGGCTCGTGATTCCGACAAGAACCAGCTGATCGAGAACGCTCTTAAATTGGGATCCTCTCTGCTCGAGGCCGGTAAAAGATCTGCCAGAAGGCGTGCTTCCAAGCATAATTCGGCCGTTTGGGCTCTTCCCCCCGATCTCACAATTAAAGTATGTTTATTTTCTCATGTTGTTTATTTCACCATTAAAGTATGTTTATTTCCTCCAATAAAGTAATTTGAGCTCTTTTTTTTTGTTTCAATGTTTGTATACAGTGGTTGATTTGCAAATTTTAGATTAATTTTTTTCGGTAAAGAAAATTTTAGATTAAATTTGTAGATAACTATTTAGCCGCTGATTTTATTTCCAGTGTAGAAATGGTTTCTTGTCGTTAGTTTTGGTTGTAATCTATAGTTGCATTTGATTGTGTTCTATAATTGCATTTTGTATGAAGTAGATAACATTCGAGTCGAAGATAATAAACTAATGGTGTTCGGGGAATGAAGAGTGACTGTGAACATCACTTTTTTTTCCCAATTCCAATGTTTAAGTAGCTCAAATAATAAGTTGATAACCAATGGCTGTTGCTTTAGTCGGTCTAGTAGGATATTCAGTATTTGCACAGTGTGAGCGTTGAAGTGCATGTAATATTGTTGGTTGGGTTCGCCCCACTTGAATCACGTAGAGTTAGTTGGAAATAAATGCATGCATTTTTTTATTTATTTATTTTTGTACAAAAGAACTAGTCATCTGAGGCGATCATCAACAAAACAGTTGATAGACTTAGACCTTGGATTATGGTGCATTTTCTCTGGATGCCCCTACCCCTGATCTTTTTGATTTTGCTTATTATCATGCTACATGGTATTATAAGCTTTTGGGTGCTGTCATTACCATAATCCTGTACAGATTTTTTTACACACAGGACCTATAAATGCTTTAGATCTAATTATAGAGCAACATAATTGTTTTAAGTTCGGCATCATAGTTTTGGTGTAAAGCTTTAAACATAATTGCTCATCATGCATTTTATTTTACTGTTTGATTTTTGGAGTGTGGGTAAGATCCATTAATATAGTAATATCATTCTGTTTCCTGGTATGAAGGTATTTTCCGTGCTTGATACACATTTGTGCACAATGTGTTTTATTTTACTGTTCGATTTTCTTAGTTTGGGTAAAATCCATTAATATAGTAATCTCATTGTGTTTCCTGGTATGAAGGTATTTTCCATGCTTGATACACGTATACACAAAATACATTTTATTTTACTGTTTGGTTTTCTTCTTGTGGGTAAAATCCATTAATATAGTAATCTCATTGTGTTTCCTGGTGTGAAGGTATTTTCCATGCTTGATACACAAAGTTTATGCTACGCTGCAGCTACTTGTTCAATGTTCAACAAGTGTGCCATGTGTCCGCTGTGCTATGCTGATATTGACTTAATATCATCGGTTCCAAAGGTCAATAATGTGGTTGTATCTACAATGATCCAACGAGCAGGAAAGAACCTCCAGTAAGAGTCATTTATCCACAAATTTAGCTAGAACCACGCATTATATTCATCATCTTAGATGCCCCCATAAATTATATGCTTCATTGTTGGCATGCTTGTGCAATATTTCATCATTTTTTTTTTCTGTCTTATATAGATTTGAATATTTTCCTGCATATGCTTTTCATTAAGTAGTTGCTGTTATCTTTTTTAATTTTGTAAAGATTTTGGACCTAACTTTCTCTTTTCAAAAGGAAAAAGAAATTACATTAATCAGTACTTTGAAAAAGATATTGGGTGACATAATTTTGCAACTTTTCCTAGAGGTGACTTTTGGAAGTTATTATGTTTGTTATTGATCAAAAGAGGTTATTATGATGATCTATCAAAAAAAAAAATATTATGATAATTGGATTGTATTGGGTACCATTATAGGGAAAAAAGGAGTTATTCAATTAGGGGATAGGTTTGGTTTTTACATTTAACCGAACCGAAACTGAACTGGTACAATCGGTTAACCGGTCGACCGGTTACCACGGTTCGGTTTTTTATGCCCTTAAAATAAAAAAAAGGAAAAACACAGTAACTGGGATCGCCAATGTCACCGAGATGCATTAGCCTCTAACCCACAACCGAACCTCCAGTGTCGTGGATCGCCAGTGTCGGAGGCCGTTGGTGAATCGGTCAGAGGGCGGAGCGCCAAAGGCCAGAACCCAGAGAAAGTCCGAGAGGCGAGAGAGAGAGAGAGAGTTCAGAGAGAGACTGAGAGGCGAGAGAGAAAGAGCTCAGAGAGAGACTAAGAGGCAAAAGAGAGAGCTCAGAGAGAGACTGAGAGGCGAGAGAGAGAGAGAGAGAGAGAGAGAGAGCTCAGAGAGAGACTGAGAGGTGAGAGAGAGAGACTGAGGCGAGAGAGAGAAAGCTCAAAGAGAAACTGAGAGGCGAGAGAGAGAGAGAGAGCTCTGAGAGAGGCTGAGAGGCTAGAGAGAGAGAGCTTAGAGAGAAGCTGAGAGAGAGAGAGAGAGAGGGAGTATGAGAGAGTGAGAGTCCGAGAGAGAGAGAGAGGGAAAGAAAGGCCTGTGCAACGGGTGTTAGAACTCAAACGACTCAGACTGTCAGGCTGTTTGCCAGTCTGACTGCCAGTTTGCTAGACTGGTGAACTTGAAAGTCTCAGCTCTCAGTTTGGCAGTCTAAACACTCTCAGACTATCGAATGTTTTTATTAGATTTTTTAAAAAAATATAATATAATATCATATAAAAATATATATCGGTTGGTTCAGTTAACTGCCGATTTTTTTAAATGGTTAACCGAAACCAAACCAAAACTTCCGGTTTTTTGAAAACATCAAACCGAAATCGAACCGACCAGTTTGGTTAACCGATTTTTCGGTTCGATTTTGGTCAGTTTTTTTTGCTCACCTCTAATAGTTTTATCTACTATTAATATCCAGTGTCTTTGGCACCAAGGAATACACCACTGGTGCAATGTCAGTGAAGCAAAAAGCAAGGAAGATAGATAGAAATATGGACTGTTAATATATCCAGAATTTTGTAGGTATATAGTGAACTAAAAAATGTATTTTCCTGGGAATATACCCCCAATAGTGCAATGCCAGTTGAATAGTTCGCTATATGGATATACATGCAACACTTCAAAGTTTATGCAGCAGTGTGTAGGTTTGTAATAACTATAGAATGTATTTCCCTGGGAATATACCCCCAATAATGCAATGCCAATTGAATAGCTTACTTTATAGAAATACATGCAAAACTTCAAGGTTTTTTGCAGCAATATAGTCATGTCATAAGAACCAAGAATAGGAGATAGAGACATATGGAGTGCTAATCTTTTCAGGATTATGTGGGTCCAGAAATGATCTAAAATAGCTGGTAAAAACCAACTAGCATTGTCAATCTGAAGCAATTTCAGCATCAAAGTTGTATATACTAAGTTATGCTTCTGTTTGCATGTTATACTACACATATAGAAGAAGCTTTTACAGGTCCAAAATGTGGTCCAAGATAAAAACTGTATATACTAAGTTATGCTTCTGCTTGCATGTCATACTACACATATAGAAGAAGCTTCTTTTACAGGTCCAAAATGTGGTCCAAGGTCCAAATCTTTAAAAATACACTCTGTAGTGTCCGTGCATGATCTGCTGTTGTTTCAGGCCATTGTGTCTGATACTGGTATGCTCGGCATGTACAGGTATCCTGGTATCATAGATTAGAATGAGTGATCTGATGCAGATTGAAAGGTACAGAAGAGCTAGTGGCACGACAAAAAGGGCATGGGCTGAGGTATTGAGAAATGATCGTTTGGCTCACAATTTAACAATGTGGCCCTTGATAGAGTGGAATTATAAAAGAGGATCCATGTAGTGAACCCTATTATAGTTGGGATATGGCTTGGTTTAAGTGAATGACGTATTGTTTATTCACACCCCTAACACATGGTTCAAAGTATCAATAGTTTGAGCCATTACAAACATTGATACTTACATTTTAATTGAGTTTCAGTCCATGCCTCTCCGTCTATCGGAAATGCACAACTAGATTGCTTATTGAAAATAACAGAGGTCTCAAATTCCTCATGTATAGCATATTATCAACCTCAAAAACCATACATATCATAGGATACAATACAATACAATGCGTATTGATACTTTGAACCATATCCTAACACTTGCAATATTCTACAGGATGTTCTCTCCTTCAGTGTAGTATGTATATACTCCTGATATGTTGATCTTTTGTCTTATTATGTATGCTCTTGAGTCTGCATTTTGATCTTTTGTTTTTCAGAGTAGGTGATCTTTCCATGCATCATTTTTCATTTCCTTTTCATATGATTGGAGACTAAAAGTCATTCCTATATTCAGGTCACTCAAGCTTGGTATATTGTCAGGACCAACTGCCTCTGGAACTTCTCGATCTATTTTTTATTCCATCAAGAACTCTGTAGATTCATCTGGTTTTGCATGGAATGATAAGAGAGCCAGACAAGGGAAAGAGTCATCCATTCTGACAAGGTCATGTTTAACATCCCTAAGTGCAGAAGGTGGCACTGCTGGGTATGGTTGAGTAATTCAGTTGAATAAGAAATCTGGTATTTTCAAGTAATTCTCTGATATTCTGTTCATAATGTTTGCCTTTTGTATTGGAAGGGCTATGTTGAGGAGGTTGCACCTCTACAATATTGACAGAATGGACAATGCAGCACTTTGTACAGCTTTATCAGCCTGTCCATCTCTCCTTGATCTGGAAATTGTTGGCCTGTAAGTCTCATTAATCTGATATTACATCTACTGCCATTCCTTTCTTGACTTGAGCATTACAGTATCATAAGAAGAACCATCTTGCTCAGTGCTACTTAAAGTTTGTTTTTGAGAAAGGTAGAGCATAGTATAGTATTAAATAACTAAAAGAAAAAAAAACATGTACAACAAGTTGCTGTACACTGGGATTATAGAACCACTGCCCAAGCATATCCCTGCCACATCCTGCTTTACAAAAAGATTATCATATACAAAAAAGGAGCTGTAATTTCTATCTTTGAACAACTTGTTTACAGTAAGCCAAGATAATAAATTTCCCTTTATTTTTTGAAACAATGTGTCTGTAGAACTATTTTTGTTCTTGAACATTGTTTAGAAAACCAGACCGGACTGGTTGGTTGGACCAGTTAAACAATGACCTGGCCCTCTGGCTGGTTTGATCATATACTGAAAATCGTAATTCATGAAAAGCCGGCCAAAACCATCTATCAAAAAAAAAAAAAAAGGCAAAACCAGCTGGCCGGCCAGTTTAACCAGAAGACTAGTGAACTAGTCCCCGTTTTATGAAACTGCCTGGGTCATAACATGAATAGAAACTTCAAAATGTTACTGACAAGACTTGAACCCAAGACCTCTTACTCATGTGTGTTGTCTTGTTACCACTAACCCATCTCTTTATTGCTTTGTGCCTCTTTAGTGTACTTATTGCTTTAATAAACACGTACTTTAAAGAAAATGTGAGTTAAGAGACTTGAACCCTGACATTTTATTTTAAAAACTTAAAACAAGCCATTTGTCCACCACATGCAAGTGTAATAATACTTGTGAAATGTATTATATATAGTATTTATATGACCTATAAAATATATATGTATATGTCACATCATCATGGTTCAACCTTCAGTTTGACTGTGGTTGAACCTCTGACAGGCGTATTGTATTGTATCTTTGGAGGTCCGATACACCTGTTTATAGGTGTTTCGGGACCCCCACTCTTTTTTAATAAAAAATATGTTTAAATATCTTCCAAAAAACCAAATTTTGAAAAAAAAAAACTAAATAAAAAGTATTTCCATGTGTATCTAAGTATTGTTACGCCTATGCTGATACACAGAGACGTATCGATACTTTGAACCATGCCTCTGACTAGACTTGTTCACGGGCCGGGCTGGGCCGGGCTTTGCCTTTACATTAATAGAAAATGTTCAGGCCCGAGCCTGAGCCCGGCCCGACTATAAAGACCGAAGCCCGGGCTTGAGCTTGAGCCCGACTAGAAATTTGGAGAAAAAAGATTTTTCCTTTTTAATTTGATTAAAAGTTGTTTTATTTATACTAAAAGACCTCAAAACCTAAAATAATAATGAAAAGTCTCATTATTACTTGAAAAAAGAGAAGAAAAATATATTATATATTTGCTTTTTTATTATATAAAATATATTTTTATTAATATAATACATTATCAAGTCAGGCTCGGGTGGCCCGAAAAAAAGTCGAGCCCGACATTTTAGGCCCGAGCCTGAGCCCGAGCCCGAGCCTGTGGGCCTGAAATCTTGTCCAAGCCCAACTTAGATTGGGCCGGCCTGTTGGGCTACCCGGCCCATTAACAGGCCTACCTCTGACCCGTGAACCTCTCCCTTGTCCAGTTCTCTGAACATTGTTCTTGAATATCCTTGCATTTATCTCCTGCCAAATGCACCAGAAAATTGCTGCAGGAGTGATATTCCGTGCCGGCTTTCCTCTCTTAGTTAAGCCTTCAACTCTCCACCCCTTCACAAAATCCACCACTGATTGTGGGCAGTAGCTTTTCACTTCAAACAAGTTCCAAACTTCAAAATAAAAGCTGCAGTGTAGCAATAAATGATTTACTGATTCTGTTTGCTCCACACAGAGATCACAATTGGTGGAGTTTTAACAACATACCCTTTCTTAACAAATTATCTGTAGTTAATAATATGTTCAAAGAGGCTATCTGCAGTCTACACAAAGAAGGCTACCTTTGTGGGAACATTCTTGCACCAAACAATATTGACTGGGATTATCTGGTCCTTAGATCTAAAAATAAAATTGTACAAAGATTTAACTGAGAAATTTCCGTATTTTTACCACTCCCAAATTCTTATGTCATTCCTCCCAATATCCACCTGAATTCTATACAGTTTATACAACATTTTCACCATTGAATCTACTTCCCAATCATTCAAATTCCTTCTGAGTTGAGGTACCCATATCACATTACCATTCTGCCTGCATGCAATCCGCCACACAAACTTCTTTATCCACAGCAAGATCAAAGAGGGCAGGAACCATTTCCATCAATGGCCGATTTTTGCACCATACAGACTTCCAGAATTTCACATGAAGTCCTCCAAATTTGAACCTCACCCCCTTTGAGAAAGAATCATAGGCTTTCCCATTGCCTTTTCAAAACAAGCACCTGTATGATTGGTTTGGCACCCCTGGTTGCATCCCATGTTTCTATATCCTTATTTAGATACCAGCACCACCCTCCTCTATAATCCCCCTTGATTCTCACCAAATCTCCAAATTACTTTCCCAGGAGAGCCATATTTACATTTTTCACCCTTCTCAAACCCAAGCCTCCCTGATGTTTAAGCCTGCACACCTTATTCCAGCTGACCAAATTATTTCTTCTTCTCTTCCCTCCACCCTCTCCATAGGGAATCTCTCACCTTCTCTATTATATTAGCCATTCCAGTCAGGGTTGGATACGAAGATAATGCTTAGGGAAAGAAGACAGCATGCTTCTCAACAAAGTAATTTTCCTCCATAAGAGAGATACTTGGCTTTCCATGAGATCAACTTCTTATCAATTCTTTCAGCAATTGGTTCCTATTATTGATTTAGAATTGCACCTAGGACTCAATAGTATCCCCAAATATTTTAGAGGCAGCTTCCTCACTCCACTGCCCAATTTTCGAACTCCTGAACTTCTCCCACAGGCCACAGCAACTAGCTCACTCTTATACATATTTACATGCAATCCAGATACAACTTCAAACCATCTAAGGACTACCATGACATAACAGCGTAGCTCATGAGATGCATCACAGAACATAAGTGTGTTATCAGCATATTGGAGCATCAAAACCTCCACCCTTTCACTTCCTACTGTAAAGCCTATAAATCCACCTGATGTGGCCCTTCTCTTCATTCTACTAAGGGCTTCTGTTACACAAATGAACAAGAAAGGGGACAGGGTCCCCTTCTCTTCATTCTACTAAGATACTCCATTTACTAAAACAGAAGAATTTTCAAAGCTTTGGAGAAATCAGAAGATACAATTGTAATGGAAGAATTTTTGAATTCCACTTTTTTATTTTTGTAATGGTGGAGCGATACTTTTTGTACAGGTGGAGATAGTATATACACAGTTTCTTGCTGTGCAGCATGGGGGTGTTTTTTATCTTTTTAATACAATACATTACCTTTTCTCAAAACAAAATGCGAAAGATGGGGTGGCAACACAAAGTTTCATCCAATTCCTCCACCCGGAACCTAAATTCATTTTTCTGAGCATATAATCCAGAAATTGCCAATTAATATAGGCTTTCTCAAAATCCACCTTGCACAGCAAACCTGCCATCCCACTTCTCATTCTTGAACTCTTCTCCCAGTAAGTGAACTATACTCCTCCTTAGTTGTTGCCTTGTCCTCAAAGATATTTCTATTCCTCTCCTTCCAAACTCCCAACAGACCACAAAAAGCACACAGGAAGATGCTATTTTTTCTTTCTTACTCCCATCTAGAACTGGATGGAAAGCAAAAATTTCCTTTGGACTTCTAGGAAACAATCTGACCAAGACAAATAACCTGGAAAAGAAACTCCAGATGCAAATTGAAAATTTGCATTGAACTAAAAGATGAAGCGATTTCCTCGGCATCTCCACAGTCCACACAAAATTGTAGATTTAACTACCAGAAGGCTTAGGGGATAGTCAGGTAATTCCTTCCCAAGTAGGGGGAATATATTGTCATTCTAAGTGTTATACTTGACCTCAGTGCTTTCTATATCCCTTTTTATTAGAACTTTGTTGTAAAGAGCATTTGTGTAAATTGCTCTTTCTGGTGGATCATGGGTGAAAAAGGAAGATCTCATGGGGACAATAATATGGTTTTGGTGTGTGCGTGTGTGTGTGTGTTTGTCTGTGTGAATGTATCAATGTTGACAGACTTGGACCACATATAGTATGGTTTTGTGACTGGATCAGGGGTCAAATTCAACCATTTGACTCATTCAAATAAAATGCAAAAAGAAAAAATTTAAAAAGTTAAATTGGTTTAACATTATCTTTTATAACTATTTTACATCAAGATAAGCCCTATTAAGACATATAGAGGGCACATTTCTGTTGTACTTTGGTGTGTGTCGGCATTCTATCTTGTATTCTTTTTCTTGTCGTTTGTTGAAATTGAACACTTCATCTTTTAAAAAAAAGCACATATAAAGGGGATAAGTTTGATCAAGTAAACATTTCTAAGAACTAGGCAACCAAAAAACTGTTTTAGTTGCTGGTTCCCAGTTCTTATGGTGTGATCATCCTGGTCTGGTTTGAATCCAACAACATTGGGATATATCATCATCATCATCATCTTAGCCTAATTCCAACTATATGGACTTGGCTACATGCATCCTGTTTCACCATTCCATTCTGTTTAATGCCATATCCATTGTTAAATTATGAGCACTTAAATCATTTCTAACTGTTTCGATCCATGTCCTTTTTGGTCTACCCCTAGCTCTTCTAGCCTCTTGAATTTGTAACGGATCACTTCTTACAGGTGCTGTAGGTGGGACATTGGAATATATAATATAATAAAATATGAGATGCAAACAAATAGTAAAACTATTTGCAAAGGTCTTCTATTATACTATATATATTCACACACACATACATATTAAGGAGCCATTGCTTGGTATAGATGCAGATAGTGAAACTAGAGGTGACAAATAAGTATAAAAAGTGAAATTTATCTAAATTTTGTTAGGTATGATAACACTCCTAACAAGTAGTCTTACTTTCTGGTAAGGTAGCAATTAAATTGATATGATGTATTTTCATGCCTCTGACCAAGAAAAGAAGAAAGAAAGTATTTTCTATTTAATTACTGTTTTTTACATATTTGGAACTTTTGACTAGTACATGTATATTTTTTGCCTTTTCTCTGCCTGGTGAGTTGCCTTTTGTGAGTCTTTGGGTCTATTGACCCTTAACTTTGATACTATGAACAGTCATGTTGAATTGAGGCAAACTTTGGAGTCTGTGAGTGCAAATTGTCACTTCATGGAGCGTTTGTTCTTTGAGTCTTCTAAAACAGGTATGGCATCTTCTGTTTTTCCTCTTTTCATGCATTGAAGGTTCTCACTATCTATTCTTTCATCATCAGGCAGAGATGACAGCTTGAAAACACCAACTTGTGTAGATCTGGTAAATGGTTGTCCTCATCTAACTTCATTGGCTCTCAGAGGGTTCAAGCTTCCTGACTATAAAGTCCGTATACTTGTTAAGGTATGTCTTTTTTAAATGAATGCCTGTATCTTTCATGTTACCTAGATGCTCCTGTCGGGCACACCAGGAAATGGGGTACATGTTGGATCTGCTAGATTTGTGTCTGTATTTTCACTTTTACGTTTTGATGGATTGGAAATGAATCTTCTTAATAGGACAGGAGCCTAATAGATTCTTAATTGAGTGTACATTTCTCTTTATGCTAATTGATGTTTTTGAAATTCTAAGTTTTAATGGTTTGGTCACATTTCCACTTCGTTGTATGTAATGCCCATCCAGGAATTTTCTTTTAACTGGATGAAATATGAATTTGCAATACATTTTTTATACTCTAAAGTTTTAGGTATCATGTTTCGAGTTCATTTGTTGTATTCTTAGTGTTGATATTTGTTCTAAAATTAGAATGTGGTTATAATTCTGGCAGGAGAAGATAATAGTTTCTGTCTCCTGGTCAGTCACTTTTTAAGACCATCATTGAGTTTATTTTGCATCATATATAGGTTAAAGTGCCATTGTATGTGAATTTAGTTGACTTTCAAGTCAAACTTGCTTATTTCATCTTGGGCTTTTATTGTATTAGTAAATTCTGTTGTTTTAGGTACATATATGATAGATATGGATTTAAAATAGGATAAAATCACTTTCCTATATATATTTAGCCTTTTAATATATCTACATTTAATTTTTTTGACAAGTTTGTAAAAATAGAAATAATCTTACGATTTACGATACGGTTCACGATTCGGTTCAATTCAATTTTCTCTACGATTTATGATATGATTACGATTTTCAAAACATTGTTCTGAATAGATTTAGGAGCATAAACAGAAGATAGCAAAGAAATAAACTGTATATAGGAAGGGGATAAATGCTTAATAGAAATAAAATTAGAGATAGAATAAGTACTACAGGACCCCCTTACATTTTCAAAGAGCAATAGGAGGGTCTACATCAACAAAGGGAGATGAATTTGGCAATGGGAGGGATCTGGAGGAAGGGACCTTTTCTCTGTGTAGACTTCCATCAATGTCTTCTTAGTAAATGGTGCAGGAGAGTGATCAATTGTAGAAGTAGATTCCATGGGAAGAGGTGGAGGTACAAATAATGTACTAGAGGAATCACCACCATCATTAAAGAAGGGATAAAAAATCAAAGAAAGTCACATCCGAGCAAACAAATGATTGTCTTAAGTGAAGACTAACATGTATATCCTTTTTGAGTTTCAAAATAACCAAGAAGGATTTATTTAACAACTCTAACTTGTCAATTCTAGGTCTAGGGCTCTGAACAAAACAAGTACATCCAAGCACCATGGGAGTCAAAAGAAATGGAGACAAAGTGGGGAATAAAACAGAGAAAGGGGATTGACTGTCGAGAACAGACATTGGTAGCTGAATGGTAAAATAACATGCTAGAGGACTGCATCTGAGCAATTATCTGCTTACACACCGAAGTAGTAAACATGATTCATGAACACCCCTGCTTACTGATAGAATTCAGGTCTGCCTTAGAGTTCGGCCTGACTGAGTTCAGTTATGTAGAAGAAGAAAAGGTGATAGAGAGAGAGAGAGAGAGAGAGAAGGAGAAAAGAGAGAATTCTGGTTCGAATTGAAAGAGTCAACTTGACTTCTCCCAGTTGGCCAGTAAGTATTTATATTATTATTAAAACATAATTGAAAAGACCTATGTGCCCTTACTTAAGTTGAGAGCACTTGTTCCAACACAACCTTACAGATCAACAACATTAATCAAGGTATAAAGACAGAAATACCCCTACGCTAACACTCCCCCTCAAGCTGGTGAGTATATATCATATACTCCCAGCTTGTTACATATGTAGTCCACTCTTCCCCGACTCAAGCCTTTTGTAAATAAGTCAGCC